AAAGCATAGATTCAACTGTTATGTTTTTTCTTGAAAATTCCAGGCATTTTTGTTGTATTTAATACATTTTTATGAATTTAAATATAATAGGAAAATTATAACAACAGTAGAGACAAATAAAATTAAAACATTACATATATACTGTAACAATAAATAATAGAATAAGTGAATAATATAGTAGGTTATCTATATTAGTACTTAATTGTTTTATCTACTTGGCTATTGTATAAGCAACATACAATATGTTTGGTTTTATTAAAATTTAATATTTAGTAATATTAAATAAATAACATAAGTTATGTTTGATTACTACAGCTTTATGTGAACATAATACAAGATGATGAAACCAGGTTCTACATAAAAAACACAGTGAAAAGTTATTTTAAAACTTTGGCTGATGAGTTTGTATCTTTATATAATGGAAATTCTATTTCTCTGATAAATAGGCTGAAGTAGAATTGCATCAAATATAATTAAAATAAATTTAGCAAATATTTCACACATGAATAAATAAATCCAAAAACAAGTTTTTTCATGACATTTAGTAAAATTTGAAGTGTCCAAAGTAACCTAAAGAGACTATAGCTTAAAATGCTTTCCCTTAAAGTCACTATATAGTTTAAAATTCCTTCAATTTTTTTTTATGGATTGTTCAACTGTCAAAAAAATTACTTAAAGTCTATGTAATACTTAAAGTGCTATGAAATGTTTGACTAAATAATAATATATTTAAAAAAATTTAATGTTTCAAATTTTATCTAAAGGTAACTAAAATATACAATTGAAACAAAAAAAAGAATATATAAAGTTTTTAACTTTTTATAAGAATGGTTCACTGCTCAGAATGCAGTATATTTTAAATGTTGTTCTGTTAAGTAAAATTTGTCTGCATATAAGAAATTCTATTATCTTTAAAAAAAGGCAATGAAACTCGTTATACACTAGAAAATGTTTTGCTCTAAGTTTTTATTTAAAGTTGCCCAACTGTCCAAAGTAACCACATTTCACGGTACTTTATTATTAAATTATACAGAATTTTTTGTTTTTATAGATACAATATACATATGTATTTATTTTTAATTATTTATAAAATATTTTTTGAGGAGGCAGAGCACATTCAAACTTTTTATTTTTGTTGCAAAAGCATGTGTTTTTTTTATAGCTTTATAATAAATTCAGATAGAGAGTTAGAAGAATTAGAAACAATTTTGAGTATTACTTCATTTGAAACAGAAAGTTTAACTTCAGATTCAGACTCATAAGCTGTTGATGATGTAGCTGGATTAGAAGCATCTAGTCTTCTAAGTAACTCAACTATTAATTTGCAACATTTTATTAAAGAAACTGTTACTAGCTCTATTTCAGATTTAGATTAAACATTCACTCTACTATTGGGAAAATACTGAAGGATCCCATATACTTTAGCAGGGGCTATTCTATATTTGCCATAAAAAAAGACCTCTATTTTTGAATTTGGACAGTGCCCAAATACTGCTTAAAAAAAAAATTTTGCGCTGATGAAAACATTTTAGAATAGCCTCTAATCGGTACGTCTTTAATGCATTCAAAAAATGAGAGATAAATGCAACTTTTAACTTATAACATTGTTAACTTCTTTAAGTTTCTTCAACATAAAAGTTGTGGCAAAATCGGGTGTAAACAAATCAGCAACCTGACAGCAAAGGGCCTCAACTGTTGCTTTTACTGGGACTAGCACAATAATGATGCCAGATACAGCTTTAATCTTATTAAAAGATAAAGCATAAGATTACCTTTTGGAAAAAAAAACATAAGATTAACCTTTCGGAAAAGGGAAACTTATGTCTAATAATCCCTTTTGTATACAATTGTTTAACAAATAGAATTATAGCATTAAAGCATTGAAAAAAGACTGTTCCACCTAGTCATGAAGTCTTATTATTTCTTAAGTTAATTGCTTCCCAAATTCACTTTCAACATAATTCTGCAAAATATTGATTTTTTTTTTGACTTTAGTCTAAACATTACTGTTAATTTTTTTACCTTTTTGATCACTGAACCACAACTTACCTCAGTAACATCACTTTGGCTTCCTCTATCACTAGCGTTGAATTCAACCAATTCATTGTTGTCAGAAAAATCATCATCCTTGTAAGAGTTACTCTCTAAAAAATCATCTTTTATATCTGATTGTTTTCCTTCATTGAATCGATAATGGCCAGTTGCACACCATGGGCAAAACATAACTGCTGATTTACAGGTAATATTTTCTTAACTTTTTTTATTACACTTATACCAACTTATACCACTTATCACAGTCATAATACCAACAATACCTTTTTGCAATTTAAGCCCATATTGTGCCAGCTTTTGTTCTAACAACTCAATACACTTATCTGCAGACATTGATCCTGTTAAATGAATTAAGCCTAAGCTCCAGAATAGGGTGCATCAAACGCCCCATACTTTCAAAATTTGATCTATCCCTATTCTTAAAACCATATGTTGGTTCTCACGAGACACTCTGTTAAATTTTTTCAAAATTGAATAAGATTTAGGGGGGCCACATTAAGTCTGAAACTTGCAACGAGACCCTAAACAGAAGAGAAAAAAGTTTTTCAAATGTATGTCATGTTGGGTCGAAAAAGAAGCGAAACTTTATAAAAATTTCAAAAATAGTTTTGATTTTTTGTTGCCTTGAAGAAAAAATTCGAACAAAAACAATGAAAAAATGGCTTTTTTTAAATTTTTTTAATTTTCTAAAAAATAATTTTTATGCAATAAAACTTATAATAATAAATATTATGTAAAATTTTTATTGTTTTTAAAATTTTTTTATAAAATTTTGCTTCTTTTGAGACCCAACATGACATACATTTAAAAAACTTTTTTTTCTTCTGTTTAGGGTCTCGTCACAAGTTTCAGATTTAAGGTGGCCCCTGTAAATCTCATTCAATTTTGAAAAAATTTAACAGAGTGTCTTGTGAGTACCAATAGAAAGTTTTAAGAATAGGGACAGATCAATTTTTGAAAGTATGGGGCGTTTGATGCACCCTACTCCAGAATTGACAATTTTGTGCATATAAATTAATAATTGTTTAGCAATGGTTACGTAGTAATGTCCATTCATCAGAAGATAAAGAAAATCTTTCTCCTACACCGAATTCAGTTTTTTTCAATAATTAGAGCCACCTCTATTTATTAAAAATCTTTTTGCAGTCAGTATACTTACACATTGCTGTCTGCCTTTTTTCTTTTTATAAGAAATATTTTCAAACCATAGAATTATTATTTATTTTTTATTTTTTGGTCATATTTCTTAAAAGAAACCATTATAATTTTTAAAAAATTTACTGTTCAAACAAACAGCAATTTTAATTTAATTAAAATTAGTAATATAAAATAGTCACAAACAAATTATGTCTAATCATAAAAATTGTAAAAAAACTTCAATAAATGTCACTAAGCACCTACAAATTTTAAGAATGTAGTTTCGATCCAATTTTAATTATTATAATAAATCCAATCCAATTAATCAAAAACATAAATGCAAGAAGTTCGATTTTGTAAAGTTTTCAAATTCGATTGCAATCGAATGACAAAAAATAATTAATGAACTTCCAATATGAAAGTAGTCAAATCTCAAGCAAGGAAATTTTAATTTCAAAATATTAAATCAAAAACAATTTAAAAAAATAATCCCAGGATTAAGTGCTTAATCTTGGGATTTTAAGTTAAAAACCAGGGAATACTGGGATTTTGGGATCCCCGAACTTCCAACTTTATTGACAGCATAAGAAAGTCTGAAACAACTGAACTTAAACCAAATTCTACTATTTTATTCTCAATATAAACATATTGTCTTTTCCATAAGCTTGCTCTTGTTTCGGTAGAAAGTTTATGTTTGAAAAAGTGGAAAAATACAAAATCGGAAAAAAAATGCAAACTATTATAAATACAGTTAAAATAACTAATACCTTCAAGTCCTTTAAAAAAGTTGTATATTTTTAAGCAAATTTCAAAATTATGGTTAATTAATCTTTATTGTATTAACAAAAAGCTATAGTAATTTCCTGAAAAAATGATATAGTTCTATATGTTACTGTTATTTTTCAGGTCGATTTTGAGCAACATATAAGATTATAACTAAATAAAATTAATAAAATCAAAAAAAAAAAAATTGAATGAGGCATTTTGAGATATTGGGCTCTAAAGTTAAATCATATAAACTTGTTTTTTATTAACTTATGAGTATGTCCCCTTCATATTTCAGCATTTTAGGTAAATTTATTGGATTATGCATCAAAAAAGCATTTTATTTTCATAATTTTGCCATTGTTATTCTTTATTTTATTAAAAAAAATATTTTTTTTTAATGTCATGAAAACCGGATCATTCTAAAAAAATTCAGATTAATTTTAAAACTACCATATTTCCTCAACCTCTTAAAATTTTTAGTTCAAATTTTGCATACAATGTTTTTTTAATAAATAAGAATCATATCTCAAAAGATAAAGAAAAAGGAAGACACATGGTTCGATGGACTGGATGATTTGATGAAATGATGATGATAGTGATGATGATCATGATGATGATGATATTCATAATGATGATGTGATGATGATGATGATGATGATGATGATGATGATGATGATGATGATGACGATGATGTTGATGATCATGATCATGATGATGATCATGATGATTATTATGATGATGATCATCATCATTATTATTATGATCATTATCATCATCATCATCATCATCATCATCATCACATCATCATCATCATCATCATCATCATCATCATCATCATCATCATCACATTTAATAATAATATTTAAAACATTAGTTTTTAAATAATATTTAAAACATCATCATTATGAATATCATCATCATCATGATCATCATCACTATCATCATCATTTCATCAAATCATCCAGTCCATCGAACCATGTGTAACCTGTATTATTTAAAAAGTATAAAATATCATATAATTGATGAAACACAAATCAACATACTTTTAGATTCTATTTCCATAACAATATGCAAAAGAACAAAAATCACTGTTTTGATCATTTATATTTGTCTAAAACAAGAAAAATGATTGATTTATATTAGTAGCAATATTAACATTTAATTTAAAATATTAAATGGCAAAAGTGAGCAAAATTATAACTTTATCATTAAATTATATTCAAGATATTTATCTTTATAGAAGAAGTAAAGTAAAAGCCACAATCTGGATTTTTCAATTCTTCTAATTATCTATGATCTTCATGTCATTATATTTAATCAACTTTAATGTACCGATCGAAGTTGAACTTATTAATTAGTCTTCATGTTATTGTGAGGTATATTTCTCCTTGCAGATGTAAACAGAATCATATGAATGACACTGATGGTTTTTTGCTTTTTTGTCTTTTTTAGTAACAATTTTATCAAATCACTGTCATTTTGTGGCAACAGTTTTGATAACAGTTTCACTAGAAAGAGCTGAAGAAAGCAAAAGATCGACAGTTTTATTCATGATTCCGGTTTGTATCTGTGATTGGACGAATATACCTGCATCTATATAATTTACCACGCAATGCATCTAGAACATTTGAATAGTTCAATAATTGATAAATCAAGATTGAAAAGCTAATATGACATGAGGGTATTTCCAAAAAATCACGCACGAAAACTCGTATATGTTTTTACTTTTATTTACATAAAAATAAAACTAGCGATCTCCAATTTACTCTCATTTAATTCTAATCAATATAAATATTTTGTAAACAAAAAAAAGTAAGCATTAGTAATGTTAACAAAGAATAAATAAAGTTAGAAATGGAATCACGCACGGAACAGAAAAACTTCTATTTTAGTAACTAGATAAATAAACTTTAATTCCTAGGAAAATAAAAGTTTCACCGGTATACTTTTTTTTTAAATAATATTTAAAACATTAGTAAAGATTTCCAGAAAGTTACAGGATTGCACTATGAATCATAGAGTCACAGCAATCATTTAAATGCAGTTTATGAATGATCAGGCACGGAAGTCACGTTGCAAAAAATGTCCATTTCATGTAGTTATTTTTATAAAAATAAATTGCTTGTGAGTATTTCAAATGAAATAATATACTTCTACGACTCATATTTAACATATTTTCGATGAGAAATAGCAGTTATCAATTATTTCTAGCTAGAGTATTGCGTTTTGAAAATTATTGTTTATTTTTCAAAATGTTGCGATACTATTACTTAAAAATCTAATCTAGCATCTCAAAAGATTTATTAGATTTTTTAATAGTGAATACAACAACAACAGCAACAACAACAACAACAACAACAACAACAACAACAACAACAACAATAACAACAACAACAACAACAACAAGATATTTATTTTTCTCAAAATTTACAATCATATAATTACAATAACATATTAATAATAAAAATAATAATAATAATAATAATAATAGCAATAATAGCAATAATAATAGTAATAATAATAGTAGTAATATTATTACTATTATAATATTTATTATTATTGCTATTATTTTAAAAATAACTATTATTGTAACAATAATAAAAAATAAATAAATTAGGATATAAATAAGATTGATATAAATATAAAATTTATTATTATTTTTATCACCAGTTTTGCTATTATTATTAATTTTATTATTATTATGTAACAATAATTGTTATTCAACAAACTCATTCAAGTTTACATTATAAACAACTATTCGGTCAATTCAACCTATATGGCATTTAAAAAACAATTTGTATATCAAAATTAAATCGGTAAATTTAAAACGTTTTTATAAAAACCTTTTTCTATTTTTAATTTTTTTAAACAAATCACTGCTGATCATGCAAACAAAAGACGTCACTTAGAGAGACTATTCCTATGGCGTCAGAAAAATTTCATTTTTGGAGCGACTGAATTTACAAAGATTGGCATAAGTACGGATTGGCAGTGCGAATAGGTAAAAGTGCGAATTCTATGTTGACGTCATGTCAATTTTTTTCGGCGCACAATCGAACTGGCACACATATGCCAATTTATGCTTAGCACTTATGACAGTTAGTACTTATGCCAGTTTGCACCTATGCCACTTTATGCAACTGCCTAACACTTTTGCCATTTCGTACTTAAGTCAATACGCACTTATGCCAATCTTTGCATTAAAAATCTTTGCACTTAACACACTTGAAATAACCGGCATAAATGCGCCAAAAGAATTTTAAAACATTTGCATAAGATTTGCACTTATGCCGTTTTGCAATTATACCAATTTTCACTTACGTTAATCATTCAAACTTTTGCGGCGCACTAATGTCAATTTGCAAATATGCTAATTTGACTTTTTGGATCTGCTTTGCACTTATGCTAGTTCGCATTTATGCCATTGTTTGCAAATTTGCACTTATGCCGATTCGCACTTATGTCAGTTTTTGCAACTATTCCACACTTTTGCCAGTTCGCATTTATGCTAGTGTTTACACATTCGTTTGGTGCACTTATGCTAATTCGTACTTATCCCAGTTCGAGTTTTTCAAGTTGCTTCGTACATATGCCAGTTTAAACTTATGCCAGTTCGCACTTATATCAGCTCCTACTTATGCCAGTTCTTGTAGCTGCTTTGCATTTATGCAAACTTGCCTTAATGAAATTTAAACTTATTCAGCCTCCTTCCTAAAACGTCCGTACTACCTTGATAAATATAAGCAAGTAGAAAAAAATGGTGTGATAATGCTATTAGGCGATAGTGTTAGAAATTATACTGCTATAAACAAATTACAAATTATTTGATAATACTGCTATAAACAAATTACAAATTAATTGTATAATTTCTATTTAAACTACCTAGTTAAATTTGTTATAAAATTATGTAAAAATAATTTACAAATTTTTAGTAGATTATTAGCTCCGAATTATTAGATCCATTTTATTGTATTTAAAAACGTTTTTTAAGTACTAACAAAGTTGTTAATAAAAGAAGACAAAAAAAATGTTTTTAATTTTTGTTTTAGGTGCCCCATGAAGACTTAACGGTCTTGTCGCAAAACACTGCGGAAGAGCATTAAACTAATATTGAAAAATATTAGGTTTTTTCAATTTGTTAATTAATGTGTAAATAAAAAAAAAAAATTATTTTACAAAGCTCTATTAAGCACTTTTTCAAGGTTTGTTAATAGATGACGTTTTATATGAGACTCTCAAGTCTTGTACCAAGAGTCATATAATTTGCTTGTACCTAGGGCCATATATGTGTTTCTCTGATAAAGAATTTGTTTGATCATACTAGGTAGATTGTTAAATTTTGATAGCTGGAGATTTTTTTTGGGAGTTGTTTAGGGATTTTATACTTATTCTTCAATTTTGCTCCAATCTTTTAACATTAAAAAATTTTTAATATTTGAAATTTTAATTAACTCTATATATACTTTTGTAAACAAATAAGGTTAAATAAATTTTTAAAGTTCATGTGTTTATCTTTGTTGTCTGTTTATTATGTAGTTAGATCTAATTCTAAGAGAGCGGTCCTAGGTAGTAAACAACCGGGGTTGGTAATTGACCGGGGGCCGGTGCCGAGGCTGGGTTTGATAAAATATCGTCGGGACCGGAATGTGACCAAGGCTGCACAAACATTTATACATCCTAAAGTATATTTTTTAAATTTAAAACTCATGTTACATTTTGTATATATATGCATATATAAACATCATCGTGATCAACATGATCATCATAATCATCATTATCATCATTATCATCATCATCACCATCATCATCATCATCATCATCATCATCATCATCATCATAATCATCATTATCATCATCATCATCATCAACAGCATAAAAACGAAAAGCTTGACGATGATAATGATGATTATGATGATGATGATGATCATCATCATGATCATGATTGTTGTATCAAACAATGTTTGATACAACAATCATTATTACTCCTCTTCAGTTTCAAGTCAAGCCTTATTCTACTCTACATTTTTCAACATTAATCACATTTTTTATCTTTTTTATAAGAACATCTCTCTTAAGTACAAATGTCCTTTTTATTATTGCAATAAGCTAATATATAAATAAAGTCCTGTCTGATGTAAATCTCTGTTATTCTCAGTTTACTAAATCTTATGTCTCATCTCAGATTGGTTAGTTTTCAACAATGCCATTGACTAAAATAAGTCTAACGTTTAATCTCTAATTCATGGGTCTTATCTATCTACTTTTCCCCAGAATAAAGCAGAGCTATTTACAAAGAAATCTTACTCAAGTTTCTATGTCAAGTACTCTAGTCTTGAATATATCGGTCATACTCTTCCTGACAGTTAACCAGATTCACCCATTGTTAAAAATTACTCTGGCTTCCAATACTAAAATTAATTTTCACTTAAACACTTCTACAGTTTGTGCTTCAGACAAGATTTCATCATAGTCTCAAAAAGATGTTCGGCAGAACTCTTTACAATTTTTGCTAAACTTTTTAAAAGTGCTAAATAAGTAATTCCAATTTTTCAAAACTCTAGAAAGCACTTTGACCTCTTCAAAGTATCATACGATTACTCTTCACTCTGTTATTAGTTACTTATAATTTTCTATGTAAATGTTTTGAGATAATTAAATTATTTCTTTTCAACTGCAGTAGTAAAGTTTTTCTTGAAGGTAAATTTTTTCTTGAAAGCCTATTCTCTGCTTTATTTCAAGGGTAACTCAAGGTTCTATATTTACACCTGTATTATTTCTTATCTACAATAACGATTTTAATGAAATCTTAAGTGGCTCTATTTGCTGATGACTCAACTTTATACTCTTGTCTTGACAAAAATCTTTATTTTTTTATTGCTTAGAACAACCAGCAAATTTTAAACCTGATCTCTTTTCTGTAACAGTTTAAGGCTTGTAGTTGCTTATGGATTTAAATTCTGGACTTAATTTTTGTTAGACAACAAAACTCATTTATTTAACGCAAAAAAAATACTGCAATATTGTTGCCATTCCCATATTGACAAATAACAACCCTCTAACTCTCAGACAAAGTCTAAAAGCACATTGTAAATGT